GACTACGAAACTAGTGAAATTAATAAGTTTAAAATGAAGTATACTTCACTAAAGCTATCCGTGGCCATTTCATTTGTCGCCGAGAATCAAATTGATTAGACGACATTTGAAACATGGCAAAAAGGAGGGAAAATTCAAAAGATGTGGATGAGATGGGAGGTTGGTGTCCGAGTGGATCGAGGTCACGATAGCTCAAGTGGTAGAGCAGCGGCGTATCAAGCTGAAGATTGTGGGTTCGAATCCCGCTCTTGCCATTGACTTTTTTATCTCAACTGAAAACCTTAATTAATTATGTAATTATAATGTTCATTTTTAATATTTTCTCTTGACACTGAAAACTTTATAAATTAATATCTTCATGCTGTAAACTGTATTGTCAACTTGAATGACCTATCATAATTTCAATAGTGGGGTTGAGTTAGAACTTTGTTATACTCTGTGCAGACGTTATTCTCTAGTTAAAATTACGTTATGACCTTTAGGGAACATTCTCTCTTAACGTTGCGCTTTAGACATTTAGCCTAATTAAAACATTAAACATGAAAAGTCAATTGATAAGTGTAAAGTTTATGACGTTAATAAGTAACCTTGAGAGGTAAATTTAAATTCTGTTGACGTACCAAACAGGAACTTGAATATTTTGTAAAACTTCATTCAAAGATTCATGTTAATTGTTTAGTTGCAAGGAAAGTGAATTTGTAAGAACTAAAGGAGAGTTTTTATTAAATTTTCATTGCACAGCCGGGCGTTATTTTTGAAATGAATATACTTTTATTTAGAAACGGTTGTTTTCAATTTTTTTCCAAGGACTTTAAACAAATACAAGTATTTAAGTATATTCACGGTGTTTTCCGTGTATAAATAAATTATTTGCTTCATACTGCTGTAGGCGTAATATAAAACGGTTATAATTGTTCAGGTTTGTTAAGAAATGAGAGGAATACGATGAACTGAGATAAAAGTAACGTTAGAAATTAGCTTTCGTGAAAAGGGAGCGTTTGAACCCAAATTTCCTCACTCGGGGAATCACAGTAATCGCAATTAACCGTGAACACCGTGAATTTACTCAAATGGTCGGGGCTGAAGGTTCAGGCCACGGGGGGCCTGGGAGGGCGCGAGGGAGTGAGCGATCGTGCGGGGGTGCAGGGGAACAGATTTTCATTGTGTTCAGTATGGATTAGCTTTAGAGGTGGCTAATGCTTGGCTAGCCGCCCACTAATTGCTCCCGTCACGACTTCCAACTACGTTACAAACAGAATAGGTATCCGTCGAGTTACATCAGCAAAAAAACAAAAAAAAAACAAATCAAAACAATAGCAGAGAATGATGAGAAAACAGTTCTCCCGTAATTTTCCATTTAGAAATTTTATTTTTTAGCTTCAGCTTTGTAACGTTACGTGTGCGTGTCAGGAAGAACATTGAAAAAACCGTGGGCAAAACAGAAAACACGAAAAATATCAGCATCCTTCAATAAATCGCCAGAAAATATATTATTGTGTATTAATTAAACTTACTAGTTATGTCGTTATTTAGTAGCTAAGTCGTTTGCGGCCATTCTAGTTATCTGACGTTTGGATTTATATAGGCTAAAACCCGCACATGTACTTACATACAAACAATCTTTGTAAAAAAATAGTTCCTACTCACACAGTAAGTTGTTTTCGTCGATCCGGATTTCGAGCCTACAGCTCATCATCAGGTTGAAGGAGCTCTTTTGCTATTTACAGTAAACTGCAGGCAGACTCGAGAATCACCGACCCCGGGTGTTGGCCGGCTGACCTCAATCTGGAGGGGAGTGTCAACAGCTTGGTCAATTGAGCCAACCCCCAGGCATGTAGTTCCGATTCCATTTTTACTCACATTCATTCTGAAATAAATTCAATTCTATTAACATACCTTTCTTTCAGTTTGGGTGATGGGAACTAGGTATTCTGCCATCGACTCTCTCCGAAACATTCGCGCTAATAATTACATTAGCTACATTTACTGTCAGCACAAGCTAGGTATATACAACTATCATTAGTATATACAATATAACAACCCCGTTTCCTTCAAAAATCGGACTATGCGCAAGCACAATTTTCAAATCGGGTGATATTCCTATGCGCTCTCTGTATGGATCCAAGGAATGCTCCCTTCAATAAAATGGGACACATCAGGTAACTTCTTTTGCAAGCCGGACCCTTACGCGGGCTTTGGCTCAAAGGTAAGCGACAGTGTGTCAACCTCACATGGCCTATTCTTAATGGGATGAGGAAGACCCTATTTCTACGAGTCAGATTCTTCGAGGACCACACGTTTTTTGATATTTGAGAGCTTCTTTGTCGACCCGGTCCATAGACGCTGCCACTATCTTTTAATTATGCAGTCTTAGCGTCTAAGGGCCGGTGTTTAAGTCCGGAGATCGGGACATCCCGGCAGCCGCCTCGTCCGCCTCTTCATTAACGTCCAGACTGTGTAGGTCAGTGTTCAAGTACCCCGATAACCAACATTTTGCCGAGGCGCTCCAGTTCGTGGTATATCTACAACAAAAAGGTCAACGGAAAACCTGTCACAGCACTAACTGCGCTGAGGGAGTCGGGGCAGACTAGGTAGGTAGAGCTTCCATCGCCTCAAATTACCGTTGTGCGTGCCAAAGCACGAAATAGACGAACCCTCGCGATACACACGCCACAACTTCGTCAGTCTTAGACCTGTTTAAAGACGAGCTGAACACCAGTGAACTAAGCTCGAAGAACAGCTCTGTTGTCAGACATGTTTGTGTCTGTGAGTTTTTTTAATCTCTTATGTCGTTTGTGATAGTTCAAATCAATTATTCAATGATTTCAAAGTTGGCCATTTTTAGTGCAAAAACCAGGGTTTTTTATGGGCTTTCTAACCATTCTTAGATGAATTATTATATCTCCTTACTACTTTATTATCATTATCTGCTTCGTTCCCTCGTACTAAAATTCTACCTTAGACTCTCGATACATCCTCAAGTCCTTAGACAAGAACCGTACACGAAGCATTAAACGATGAAGGCCTGGAGATCTCTTCATCCCCTTTAATACGTCCAAATGAGTCCTGCATTTGTTGTTCGGATCATTTTGTTTGTGTTATCGTTGTCAGGGAAAATATTATGATCAAAATGATATGATCAAAACCAAAAACAAAAGCATTACGTATCTTATGCAAACAGTTGATAGTAATACATAAAATAAAAATACGTAAATATTGCTTTATATAGCCAAGATTATAACCACATATAAACTAATTACACGTAAGGCCATAGATTAGTGAAATATAACTTTTCCATTTTTATGATTTACTCGAAATAAGAAAATAGAAATGCAATTGGTAAAACGCTTTGATTTCAAAGAAAAAGTCTTCTGAGAGTTAAGAAAATGTTAAACAGCCTGTGACGATAGGGATTAATCTCCCCATCGAATGTCCATTATAAACAACCGGCAGGATGTTTGGAGAGGTAAGACCGACCACTGTTTGGATTAAAACGTTTGCTCCGAACCAACAGGGCCTTCAACTCCGCTTTGGGATGATTTGATGACCGTCATCTTTGATAACCCTTTACGGCCTTCGTTTTGCAGTAATATATCCTTAGAATATTAATTTGTTTGTTTTTTCGTACAAAACATTTGTGAAAATGTCGTATTTGACATACATGTCATGGCCATTCGGACTATGTGTAGCAGAAGCCGGCTAACGTTGGCACTTATTTTGATGTATTAAAGGGGTGAAGAGATCTCCAGGCCTTCATTCGGTTCCTGTGAAAGTCTAAGGATGGATCGAGAGTCTAGTGTGGAATTTTTATACGGAACAAAGTAGATAATGATCGTAGGAGATGTAATAACTCATCTAAAGATGGTTAGCAAGCCAATAAAAAACCCTGGTTTTTGCACTAAAAATGGCCTACTTTGAAAATAAATATTTTCTCAGCCTTCTAAGTCATAGACCTGCGCTAGGTCTCATTTTTTAAACGTTTTCCTAGCTTCAGTCAATAGCCGTAAATTCAAAAGTTCTGGGACATAGTTTTATGAAAATTTCAAATTGAGCTGTGGAGCCGGTGAATCTCTCTGGAGCAACGCCCTAAACCGATCGATAGGAAATTTTAATAAGCTTTCAATTAATCACCTTCCAATTTGTCCGATTTTTCAATCGTTTTCTAGTTATTCGTGATTTCTAGGTGGAAAAAACTTGGTCATGGAAAAACCTATCACTCTCTCTCTTTCCCGATTTTCAAGAATGAATAAATTTTAAACCGTCATGTTTTCGCAAATTTTAAGCTCTACAGCTTTAGTTCCGAGATCTTTTTCAAAAAAGTGAACTGGAAAGCGCCAATTCTTACTTTGACTATTGGGATTCGGAATGCTTCTTCTGAGATAACCACTTTTTCACATCATCACGGAAATTCAACTTTTTTTTCACATTTCAAAGGTGTTGTGTGGCAGTTTGCTTTCGAATATCCCATTGAAATAATACGATTATGTATATCAAATCGAGTGAGAGACTGATCGGTTTTTTTTCCATGAACCACATGTTTAGCCAAAACTCACGAATAACTCGAAAACGGTTGAAAAATCGGGCAAAGTGGAAGGTAACCGCTAACTAAAATTTCCTGTCGAATGCTATAGGCAGCTGCTCTCGAACGATTTTCTGGCTCCACAACTCAATTTGAAGTTTTTGTAAAAAGTACAAAAATTAACATATACTGAGGAATGACTGAAGCTAGGAAAACATTAAAAAAAAGCAATCTTGTTCAACGTAAAATTGCTAAAAAATGAGACCTAGAGCGGGTCTGCGACTTAAAAGGCTGAGAAAATGTGTATTTCCAAAGTTGGCCATTTTTTCGTGCAAAACCGTGCAAGAGTTAATCGCGTTGATTTTCATTATCTTGCGGTTGAAAGAAAACAGAAGGGTCATAAGGAAGCAATGTGCTGTTTTTTTAATAATAATTAATTTTCCCCTTAAGTTGTTAACATAATGTTTGGAAATTGTTTCAGCTCCAAGCTGGCAGCCACTCTACCGCACAGGAATGTCCTGGTGATCGGCGAAAGGTCGCATTGGACGACAACGCTCCCACCAGCAAATCATCATGTAAGTAACGAAAGTGTTTCAGATTAAGAAATGTATACATTCAAAGACAAAAAAAGGGGGCATCTGGCTTAAGGGAGATACTAACCCAGCCGCATACCGGGGTAGGTGAACTACCCTGAGGTACTGACCTAGGGTCAGCACAATGGGGAATGTCAACGCCTCAGGGTGAAAGTCCTTATTTTAATGTAAACCGAATTAAACGATATCAAAAATTCAGGAGTTTTAATAAAAAAATATTTAATTATGATCTTGATTAAAAGAAGATCCATCAAAACACGGGAAAATCATTTAGTGATAAATTAAAATTTAAATAACGGTTTATCACATAGATATGCTCTTTATAACGCGTATTTCCTCCTCTGGCCTAGCCTTAAGTCTCCTTGGCATTGAGTAATAAGCGACCGAATTTTGTCTTGAAAAAAAGAATCTCATTCTTCAAGAAAAGCGGTTATATCATGTCCCATAAATGTCCTATTCACTTATCCATATCAGGGATTCATATCAGGAAAAGCTGGCCAATTCATTGTGGTAATCCCTACACCCTCTAAGAAATCGGTGACATGTACATGCGGTCGAGCCTTATCATGCATTAACACGAAGTTGTCCCCAATAAATGGAGTCCAGTAAACGTTCCATAAAAACTTCCTCAATGTACCTTAGCCCAGTCAAAGCTCCATTCTGTATGATATTCAGTTCATCCCATCATAAATTGATTGACTCACGAAACATGAAGCAAGGCGTTCTCCACATCGCTTCCAGAGACGGTCTCGTCATCTGCCACAAACCAAACCAGCACTCATCTCTGAAGAGAACAGCCCCATTTTTCAAGTGTCCAAGCGAGTTGCTGATTTGCGAATCAGGTTTTTTACTCGATGCCTTTCTAGTAGTAGAGAACCTGATGCGGGTTATGTAGAGTTTAGGCTATCATCACCAAACCTCTGCTCAACCTTATTTATATTACGGACCGTTTGTAATTGCCTACTGTCAAGGAGGCCGTTGAATGACGGTTCCGTAATGCGGTAAGACCAATAAAATGACCGTCTCTGGCCGTCGTGCATCGTGGTCGACCACTACCTTCTCTTCGACTTGACTTCCGGTGGCCTTAAACCGTGGCAGACGATCGAGGATGGACAGCTCGGCACACCGAGGGCCATGTCGATAAGTATCTGCTCGGGAGAGCTCTTCTCGACTTAAAAGAAAGTTTAGTAAAATTTACTGTTTCATGGAAAAATCAATTAATTTACTCGACAAGTTGGTTTTATCGAGGATGAAAGAGAACTAACTTTCTTCATTTTTAATCTAAAGCGTATAAAAGAAATAGTACCACTCGATAAAGGTAAACAACAAATTGTTAATGTTGTGTTTATATTTTAATATTTTATACGTAGTTATTATGGAAAATAAATAAATAAATACAAGTGTCCAGTTTTTGCTTTGAATGTATTTTTAATAATTTTTCTGTAGACATAGGGTGGCGGGGTAGGAATTAATAATATATTTACATTCACTAGTTTCGTGGTCCGCTTGACCAAGTAATTTCTTACAATTAATTAAGGTTTTTAGTTGAGATAAAAAAGTTAATGGCACGAGCGGGATTCGAACCCACGATCTTCGGCTAGATACACCGCTGCTCTACCACTTAAGCTATCGTGACCTCGATCAAGCGGACTACGAAACTAGTGAATTTAATAAGTTTAAAATGAAGTATACCTTCACTAGAGCTCTCCGTGGCCATTTCATTTGTCGCCGAGAATCAAAATGATTACACGACATTCGATAAATGGCAAAAAGGAGGGAAAATTCAAAAGGTGGGGTTGAGATGGGAAGTTGGTGTCCGAGTGGATCGAGGTCACGATAGCTCCAGTGGTAGAGCAGCGGCGTATCTAGCCGAAGATCGTGGGTTTGAATCCCGCTCGTGCCATTAACTTTTTTTATCTCAACTGAAAACCTTAATTAATTGTAATAAATTTACAACTTTTTTCTTAATGACTTGTTTTCAACCTAAATCTTGTTTGCAGTTAAAATTTCTCTTTTTTATTATTATGTAATTTTAACGTTAATTTCAATCCATTATAATTAGGGGTCTGATTGACCAAATCACTTCTTTCAATTAATTAATCTTTTTATGTAAAGTTTTGGTTGAAATAAAACAGTGTCACGAGCGGGATTTGAACCGACGACCTTCGGTTCAATACGCCGCTGTTCTAACCACTTGAGCTATTGCTCTCTCCTCAAGTGGTCCTCCCCATTGCAACCTACAACCTTTCGAATTTTCCCTCCTTTTTGCCATTTTTCACTTGAGGTCACGATAGCTCAAGTGGTTAGAACAGCGGCGTATTCAGCCGAAGATCATGAGTTCGAATCCCACTCGAGACACTAACTTTTGCATTTCAACCACAACCTTACATAAAAAACAGCACACATTCTTACATAAAAAGATTAGTTAATTTCAATTTTATCCGTAGAACGCTGAAGTTCATACGCAGTGAAAGCCAATTGTTAGTTTTCATAATATTTATAACTTTTGAAAACTTAACTTTTAACTTTTGCCACTGCCTTTCGTTTCAACTTATTTGAATTTCAACATGTTAACTACAAACAATAGTTATTCGTAGGTGAAATGTTTGTTCTAATTAAATTAAACACTAAATTCTGTTATTGTTTCTGCCAATGGCGAAGTTAATTATATCGGTAGCAGTGTAAGTAAATCGTTATTGTTTCTTATTTATAAAGTGACAAATTTTAAAATAAATTTTAGTGGTATTTTTAAGAAAGTGTATTGTGAAAATTTTCATTTTGCCAACCCACGCGATATCGCGGATCCATCGAATTTTAATTGTGTTAATTATCTTCGTAATGAATATGAAGCGTCTGTTCGGGGGCGATTTTAATCAATTCAGACGTTACCCCGAGTTTCAACTGACCGGAAGGTCTGCCGTGATTAGCCTTCTCTGGATTGAAAACAATGCAAAACTAGAGTTTAATATTCATACAAAAACCGAGTAAACATGAATGAATGTTTTGATTTTTCATAAATATTGTAACTAGTATCTGTTGGAAAATAGTTCGGTATGAAAATGGTTGGTGTATACTCTCAATTCATTAGCGTAGACTAATTGAAATTAATGCCACTTTTTTTTATCACAATTTGATTATCTTAATATATTTTGATTTTTATAGTAAACTTTAACAATTAATTAAATGTTTAATTTGTTGAGTAAACGTGTGTATTTATTTCTACCATAAAATCGAGTTTTGTCCGCCAGGTCTGTTCTTCTTCGAACATTTCAAGCTAGTGGTTATTGTCTTTTTTCTTTTTTTTGAAAAAAGCCCATTTGTAAGTATGTCGGGTTCGAATGCAGGTCCGCTGGATTCGAACCCGGGACTTTTCCGTTAGGTGATGAGCGCCTAAACCGTTGCGGCCACCGACGCCTCCTCAAGTGGGTATTGTTCTTATATAAATTGAGTTAAGCCTGAAGGAAATGATCACGAAGTCAAATTTTGGACAACTTTAATTTTTCGGGCCCCGCTACACGTAGATATAATTTTTTAGAAATGTGTGTTTCTTAGTGAACTGTTGTTTCATAATTTGTTGAAGGCGTGAGGAATGGTCAAGAATGAGGTACGTTCGGCCTTCAGGGCCTGAAGATGACCCGAATAAAGGGCGAAACGTCGACAAAAAATGGAAAAGGTGTTTTTCTAAACTACCTTTTTTTTAACCGCTCCTCACGACTTCATCAAACTAATTTTTTGGGCTAAACCTATGTAAAATCATTTAAAGATTACAACTATGAAACGTGAGCTGAATTAGAGAAATGATGAATAGAACATCCAACATAACACGCCTCACATCGTTTCCTTGCGGCGACTAATTAATATTGATAAATTACCCAATTATCTCTGGTAGGAGGTGGTGTGATAAGGGGACGGTTGGACTTAAATCTAGTTGATTTAATGGCATTCAATTTTATCAATTGAGTTTTAAGTTACGGCCTCAAAACTCTCTCGCCAGTTTCGGATAATTTTTCCCCTATCATGTCGCAATTGCAGCCCCGCCGATCATTATCATCCAGAATGCTCCTGGTTGAAGTATTCCGTCGTCGTTGCTTTCGAGTACGTGATTTAAATTTAAAATACACCGCATTTTTATCGTTTCCCACTTGTGAAATGTAGCGTGATACATGCAAAATCAAATAATACGTACGATAAATTTACGTTTATTGAATTCAAATAAATCTACTGACTTTAACCTTTTGCCTTTCTAATTTTGTATAAGTGAGTGGATTAATTATTCGGTTAATTTTTGTATAGTGATATATTATGTAAGTTAGTTGAGGTTGACCGTGAGCTTATAATTCTTTGGAGCTTGATGGGCATCGGTCAGGAGTGAGCTCGAAAAGAAAAACGACACAATTGACTTCATTTCCCGTCCTTTACAGTTTATATAGACTCTTCTTCAAAGGCGAAAAACACAAGTAGAAGGTTAAGTTTAACATCTTGTACGTAAACATAAACAGTGCTGCCAGAAATTTATGTTTATGTTCAGTGGTATTTAATTGAAATAAACCGAATGAGGGTTCTTTTAGCTAGTAGTGAAGGTTACGTGAGCAGATTTTCCAGGGTTACATTTTTTTACACGAATACTCTAGTTAGGCGAGGTGCTCCTGAAGGTTTCTAGTGGTAATGATTAGAGTAATTTGAGACGATTGCTGTATTGTCTGGAAAGTTCAGGGTGGAGGCTTGTGGATGGAATGGAAGGTCAGTTGAGTGCACCTGGTACAGTCTAGGGCCAGAACTGCCCTGGTGTAAAGGTGTACACCAGTAATGTAGTTTGGGTAAGACACGGGCCCTTAGATGACTTCGAAGTACTGGTAAGTGAGGTAGCTTCGGTGGATAAGGTAAACTAACAGCCCAGTTTCCAAACTCGATCAAAAGATTGGCTACGTTCAAAGCAAGGCCATAGAACAGTACTGTCCCAATTCTATACTAATCAAAAAAAC